TTTTTAAAAATATATTTTTTATTTGAATCTTTTTATTATGTCATTACTTATTTTTTTATAAAACTTCTTATTTTATTTTTTTAATTAAATTTCATTTATAATAGAAATAAAAATATATAATTATATCACATGTCATTATTTTGTAAGCTTCGTGAATCTTGTGTTATTATTTGGTGGGTTTGATCTATTATGTGAAAGAAACTCGTAATTACATTGTGTGTTATCCGTTTGATAAGTTTCGTTTGTTATATGAATGAAATTTATAGAATTTTCATCGTTAAGTAAGTTTTACTATAATAAATATTTATTATCAAATTTTTTATTTTATAATAAATATTTATTAATTTAACAATACTTGTATAATATAAAAAATAACAAAACTCAAATACAATTTTTATATATTTATTATTGGTTGATTAAATATTATTTTTTTTAAATATAAAATTTTAATTAATAAATAATATCAATGAAGCATTGAAACATTGAAAGTTTGATATTACACTTTATGGTATTAAAGAGAAGACATATGCTAGCAAAATTATAGATATGATCGTTATCGTTTTAAATTGTAAGTCAAATTTTACTTTTTTAAACTACTTTTGTAAGTTGAGTTGGTTATGATAAAATCTTATAAATTTTTATAATAAATATGAATTTTTTATTTATAAATATTTAAACTTAGGTTAATAAAATCTTAACATTATATTTTTTTAATATATTTTTAATTATTAATTAAGTTAATTAAAATTTATGTAAATTTTGGTTTTTTATTCTTAAATTAAATATCATAATTTTTTATTTTTAATAAATTTTAATTAAATATTAGAATATTAATTTTTTCTTTTTTCAAATTAGTTTAATAAATTGAGTCTTATGTAATAGCACAATTTTATGAATTTCATCTATGAAGCAGACAAAGTTCACCAAATGACACATAACGTAATTTTACAAATTGTCTATCCAGTAGACAAAATTTGATGACACATTATACAATTTTACAAGTTTTGTCTATGCATCAAACACTCACACATGACGCAATTTCATACTTTCGTCTTTTGCAAACTTGATTAAAAAATTAATTAATTTTTCTTTTTGTTTAGATAACAGATGAAATAGGTCTTCACGTGAAAAAAAAAATCATTTTCTTCTTGCCCCTCCTTTTCTTCCTTTCTCCATGCCTTTAATCTATACACTTCTTCCTATGTTTTCACTATCACTCATCACCTCTTTATATCACCAAACCCATCACACAACAGCAAGTCCAATCAAACATTGTATTTTAGATAAGCTTTTCGATGATAAGTCTTTATAAAAAAAAATTATATGTATAAGAAATACTAAAACATTTTTTATAAATTTAAAATAATTTATATATTTTTTAAAAAATTTAAAATACTATTTTATTTAACTTTTTTAAAATTAAAAAAATAAATTAATTTTCACTTATAAAAAAAATTATTTGTTTTTAATTAATATTTTTTATAAAAATTTCCTTACAAATTCGGTTAACTATATCCTAATTCTATCAATGAAGTTACAATACAATTTGATTAAAAATTTATAATTATAATTTATTGTTCAAATAATAATATTGATTAAGAATGACAATAAGTAAAGTATGAACAGAATATTATAAGTACTCACTTCTATACTTGCATTTGAAAAAAAATATATGTACTAAACTTCATGTTCGTGTAGGAGTAATTTAATTTTCTATATCTATACTTAAAAGAAAAAAATTATTTTAAAAAAAATATATTTATATAACTTCATGTAATATGAGATAGTGTAAGTATTTAAGTAATCATACTTATACTTATTTTTATTAAAATTTATAAATAATTTTCTATATTTATATATGTGCTCTTTTAATAGATAAATATTTTATTTGTTATGAGTAAATTTTGTGAGTACTTATCGAATAATTTACTCATTATAATTTTTAATATTGATGACAACATAAGTTTAAAATTATTTAAATAGACAAAAAATCTAAAACATATAATATTTATTATTTTTAAATACTTAAAATTAATTTTAAAAACTAAAATGAACAGACATCAAACCTTAACATATATAATTATTATACAGTTTTGTGATACTTAATCAATGGCAACCAAAATGGTAGAGGATTGATCTTCCACATCCTTATTTGGAAAGGGCAGAGGACATTAAAATGAGCCCGCAGGAAATCCAATCAAAGAATTTATCAAGTTCAGTGCCGTGTGTAAATTAATTTTAAAGGTAATTTTTTAATAATATATTTTTTAAGCAACTTTTAACTTTTATTTTATATGTTATTAAAAAAATTAGCTTATTTTTCTAATTCTACACATAATATAAATATGATATATTAAAAATAAAATAAAATTTTTATAGATGTTTTTTTTTCTTGCAATTAAATTGAAACATTATAAAAACATAAAAATTCTACAACTTAATTTAGAAAAAAATGAAAAATACACAAGATAAAAATTAAGATAATATTTAATTTTGCTTATTTGAACAGCTAAAATGTTCATAAATAAGTTAGACTAAGTCTGTTTGATGTGAAGATGAATTTGCTTATGATGAATAAGTGTTCTCCGTTGTAAATATGTTGCAAGATTATATGATCCATATTGTATTTAAGGGATTGTAAGATATATGATAAAAAAGATGAGAATATTATTAATTATAAAACTATTATAATTCGAGGGATTGTCAAATTTTTTTAAAGGGGTGAAACAAATGATAAGGTGGGTCGTGAAAGATATTTAGGTGGTGAACGAGGTTGGCTTCAAGACTTGTACTATTAAGGTCCCACAGAGATATTCTTAAGAGTGGCAAAATGCCAAAGTTTGGGTTGTTACAGTTGCATATGTGATCACAATTAATTTCAAGAGAACGTGTAGGCCATAGTGAATTTCATTAGTTCTTGCCTAGCTTTAGCACTTTGGTTGATTTTAACTTACCACATAAAATAATAGCCAGAGTAACTGGAATATTATTTTTTATGTCACTATTTAGAAACTGTGGGATAATAGAAATTTTGCAGTATTTCGACAGGTTTAAATTACTCTTGCTATGTTGGTTTCACAAATTTTTTTCTTATGTTAATTACTATTCCAATTTTTCTAGGTCTTCGAGTCACATTCTGTCCAAGACTGCCAAGGATGATGTGCTTATTAAATGAATTATATTCCTCCTACAAAAGGTTAGCTAAAACTCAATATGTGGACTGAATTATGCATTTGAATAATGCTTAAGAATAACTCTAACGCAAGTTGCTTTACTATGCGTTGGATTTCGTGGCCTCAATTTAAACGTGCATATTTTGAACAGTATCCAGAATAACTTTCGCCCATGAATGTACGTTCCAAGAAATTAACCCCACACCTACAAATGCTTATCAAGAATATGAGGATTTTCGTTGCTTCAGTAACCATTGAATCACGTTTTAAGGTCAGCAGTGCTGATATGGAAATCAATTAGTGACAGAGTTACTAGCTTAAGTAAGCAAGTAATAAATCAGAACCTGTAATACTCTAATTTATTTTTTTAGTTAGAGAGAAGGGTAAATTTTACGTACTCATGTAATACTTATTCTCTTGTAATTTTTCTTTATTTGTTTTTCATTTTTAATTTAAAAAATAAACCATAAAAAGAATACAAAAATAGTGTAAGGAATTAGTTCTTCTTTTGAGAGACATGAGAGAAAGAGAAAGAAAAGCTTTTCAGAGATATTATTTAATATTAAAATCAGGATAAAAAAAAAAAAGGAGTTAAGTTATATAAATAAGTAGATATTCATACGTAACGAACTTTAAGCCATATGAAACAAACTTTGATATGACAACTCAGTTAGCTTTTCTAAAAATTATATTAGTCTTATTTTTAACACCCCTTTGTAAACTAAGTGTGTCAAGAGAGTGGACATTTAGTTTAGTCCTTAGAGTAAGAAACTGAGTACTAGAAGGAGCTTTAGTTAAGAGATCTACAATCTGAAACTGAGTTGGCACTTGACATTTATTTCTCCTCTGACAGCCTTTTCGCGAACAAACTACAAATCTAACTTGAAATGCTTTGTTTTAGAATGCATAACTGGGTTAGCAATAAGCATGACAACTCCCAAATTGTCACACCAAATGAGAGGAGGAACCATTACTTTTATTCTGAGCTCTGTCAGAAGAGATTCTAGCCACTGAGTTTCTAATACCAAAGTTGCTAGACTTCTGTATTCTGTCTTTGTGCTACTCCTTGACACTACTTGTTGTTTCTTGGCCATCCAGGATATCATGTTGTTTCCAAGAAATAAACAGTACCCAGAAGTGGATCTCATATCATCTAGATCAGAGCCCAATCACTGTCACAGTAGCCAACTATATGCAAATTGTTTGACTTTTGAAAAAGCAAACCATGATCACGTGTCCTACTTATATATCATAAGACCCTTCTAGTGGTTTTGTAATGGCTTGTGCATATATTGACAGAGTTTGTTAATTGTGAAGGCAAGATCAGGTCTTGTAATTGTGAGGTACTGAAGTACCAACAATAGAACGATAGAGACTTGGATCTTCAGCTACTTTTGTTCCCTCAAATTGAAATTTGCACCAACAAGCAACCAGAGTCTTCACAAATTTTGCATCTGACATTTTAAGTTTACACAACAAGTTTGAAGCATATTTGGATTGATATAAAAGAAACTTACCATCACCGAGATTTTGTGCTTCTATTCCAAGAAAATAGTGCAATTCTCCAAGATCCTTTAATGAAAATAGTTTATTTAGCTTGGAGATAATATGTTGTACAAAGTCTGCATTGTTTCCTATTATAAGGATCTCATCAACATACACAAGCATATATGTGATAGTAGTAGGAGTAAAATGTATACAAAGTAAATGATCACATTTAGTTGAAATAAATCCAAAAGATACAAGTGTAGAGGCTAGTTTGCCAAACCAAGCTCTTGTTGGAGCTTGTTTCAATCATAGATTGCCTTATTTAATCTACACACCAAATTAGGATTGTTGGTGTGATAACCTTCTGATGTAGACCACTTCCTTTAGAGGGCCATTCAAAAAAGTATTATTAACATCTACTTGTCTAACAGACCAGCCTCTAGATAGAGCAATAGACAAGATGACTCTGATTGTCACATGTTTACCTACAGAGCTAAAAGTTTTTTGATAATCCAGACCATGTTTTTGGGTAAATCCTCTTGCCACTAGCCGGGCCTTATACTTAGAGATGCTTCCATCAGGATTGTACTTGAGTTTGAAAATCCATTTGGATCCCACGGGTTTCCTATGCAGAGGTAAAGGAACAAGATCCCATGTTTGATTTTGTTTTAAAGCTTTGAGTTTTTCATGCATAGCTTGAATCCATTTAGGAGATTGTAGAGCTTCTCTAACTGTAATAGGTTCCATTTCAGCTACCATGGCTTTTAGTTTAAAAATACCAGCCTTGCCTCTTATGACCATAGGATGATTGTTGATGACAAGAGGTATAGCTCTAGAACTAGGACCTGTATTAGAATCAATTGCAACGGTGGAAGTATTTGTATTCTTAGTTAAAACAAGTCTGACATTGTCAAAAAGCATAGCCTTAGGAGAAATGATCACAAGACTTGTAGGTTGAGGAGTATCCTCAGTCCGAGGTATGTTACAATTAGGAACAACAGATATAATAGGAGGATGTATATTACAGGGAGTAGGATGACATCTCAAATCTTATCTACTTTTACAAAGCATAGGAAAATCAAATTCATCAAATATAACATGCTTGACAATATAAATTCTGCCTGTGGAATCTAGATATTTATAACCCTTATAATGACAATATAACCTAGAAATATGCATGATTTAGACCTGTAATCCATTTTATGTTGGTTATAAGGTCTAAGATATGGATAACACCTACATCCAAAACTTATGAATAGATTATAGTCTAGTTTCGTATGAAATAGAGTTTCAAACGGAGATTTTAGTTTCAAAACAGTTGTAGGAATGCAATTTATAACAAATGTAGCACAAGCAAATGCATGGCACCAAAAATCAAATGACAAACCAGATTCAGCTAACATAGGGAGGCCTGTTTCTGTAATATGGCAATGCTTCCTCTCATAAGCACCATTTTGCTCTTGCGTATGAGAACAGCTAAATCTATGAATTATGTCATTCTCTTTGAGTATAGAACTAAAGTTGTGGTATTCTTTTGCAGCATCTATTTGAAGAATTTTCAATTTCTTTTGAAATTGTAACTGTGCCACTTCTTAAATTCAAGAAAGGAGATTAATGCTTAAGATCTATTTTTTAAGAAATAAACCCAAGAGAATTTCGAATATGCATCAAGAAACAAAATGTAATATCTATATCCTTGTTTTGAAGGTAGGGGTAATGGTCCCCAAATATCATAATATACTAATTGCAAAAGTTCAGTGTAAACAGTTTCAGAAATTGGAAAAGGATATTTATGCAATTTTCCTAAGCAACAAGAACCACAATGTCATTTATTGGTATAAGTATATTACACTGATTTAAGACATGCTTAACAATTTTGTTTGCATAATAGCCTAGCCTAAAGTGCCAAATCCATAAATTATTACATTTGGTAAAGGAATATAAAGCTGAAATAGGAAAATCACTATTAGGATGAACAAGTTGCATATTCTCAAAAGCATAGAGGCCATCTTTAAACTTCCCTTGCAGCAGAAGCTTCCGAGAGTCCTGAGATTTAACAAAGCAGTCAATGGAATGAAATTCAAAGAAACATGAGTTTTCTTTGGCAAATTGAGCAATACTTAACAAATTTTTAGTGATATCATGTACATGTAACAATTTATTAAGAGTAAAAGCAATTTTATTGGAAGGATTTCTAAGTTTAGAAGTCCCAATATTATGAATACTTAGGCAATTACCATTACCAACTACCACCTTCTCTAATCCTATATAAGGAGTTTTGATCATTAGATTGGATAAATCATTAGTGAAATGATTTGTTGCACCTATATCAGGATACCAGGTGTCACCTAGAGAAGATTGAGTTGCGGAGGCTGTTATCATAGCTTGATTGATAGGTTCTTGCATAGTAGCATCACATGTGTTGTTATGAGTGGACTTAGGATCTGGTAAATTTTCATCAAAATGAAACTAGCAATTGTAGGCAGAATGCCCCAACTTTCCACACAATTGACATTAAGTTCTTTGTCCACAACCTCCACCAAAGTTACTTTGATTCAGACGGCTAAATCTGCCTCTTCCACGATTTTGACCGCGTCCACATCTGTGATTGGTCACAAGATTGTCTTTCTTGTTTTAAGTTTGAGCAACATTTGCTTGAAGAGTGGACAACTCACGTTGCTTATGCCTCTCAAGACGTTCCTCTTTATGCATCAACAGTGCTTCAATCTCAGCAACAATGTATGGTTCAGTTTGTGTGATACACGAAGTAATGAATCCATCATAATCTTCGCCAAGACCATCACAGATCGCGTCGATGTGATCTTCAACTGACAATGGTGATCCAATTGCAGCAAGAGTCTTAACGATCTGTTTCACTTGTACAAGATACTCGGCGATCGATCCACTTTTCTTAATGTTGTTTTTTATACAAGTACTTCAAAGATGGAACAATAAAAAAATTTAAAGTGTTAAAAATTCTCATTGGTGACTTTTCAAAAAATTATTAAAATAAATTTTACATTCAAACTAACTAGTATGCAAAATTTAAAATACCAAAATTCGTCATTGACAATATTTGAAAATTTTTCATGTTTTTGTAATTTTTTCAAAATCTTATATTTTGATAAAAAATTTTAAATGTTTTTAATAGAAAGAAAGAGCTTAAATATCAGTTTTAAGAGAAGAAACATCCATTTTAAGAGTGTGTTTAGTGTTTAGCACACTATTTCAGCTACCAGAAAAGTTATTTTAATAGTTAAAAAACTTTTTTAATAAAAATAATACTATTTGGTAATGTAGCAAAACGCTATTTATATTAGTGGTTTTTATTTTCAGCAAATAACTAAAAGTAATTTTATCATTTTTATCCATGCTATTGTTAAATAATTCCTTTCTTACCCATTCAAATTTTAAATCTTGCATTCTTTACTTTTTTACATTCAAAGAAAAGAAATATGTCAGAAATAATAAAATAAATAAATTTCACAACATTCATTATTTTACAAAAAAAAAACAAAATTGATAATGCCCTGAGAAGAATTGAACAAATTCATTAAATCTTATTTTTTATAATAAAATATTTATACATAGAGTGAAATCAAAATTTTATTATCCTAATTTAAAGACGATGAATAATTTTAAATAAATTAAAATATAAAAATAATAAATTTTTGAAAATATATGATTACTCAATTTTAAATTTTGGTCTACTTAACTATGATGCACTTATTTATTATTTTACATTTATTAGCTAATCTAACAACTATTTATAATTCAATCAGTTAACTGAGTTAAATTTTTAGCTTTTAACTTGCTTATCTGCTAGTTTTGTCGAATACATCCTAAGAGTACACAAAAGAAAAAATTCCTAGAGAGCGACTCATACATGTTTATACGAATGAGAAGTATGAGAAAATTACACGATCCTTCTTGCGTGGAGCAATAAAAATGCTCAAAGTCCAAAGTTTCATGTGAGCGTTCCACCCACGTTTGTTTGTAGAGACGAAAGAAAGCGACATTCAAAATTAGCAGATAATAGGAAGAACAAAGCTGATTCTATTGAAGTGTAACAGTCAATAAAGGCTGCACTTTGTGTTTTAAGTCAACCACAAATTTTGAAAATTTGAGTTCACTCACTATATATCCAATGCTTTATGTATGGGCACTACAGGAGAAACAAGTTGAAATTAGGAGCAGCTATGGCAGTGGAGCTGCCAATTGCGAGTGATGGAAGAGGATACAGTGGGAAAATCACTTCTATTGTGATTCTATCTTGTATGGTAGCTGCTACTGGAGGCATTATCTTCGGTTATGATATAGGAATTTCAGGCATGTATAACTCAATTTCACATCATTAATGATATTCATTACTACTAACTATGGAAATACCAAATATATATTACTCCTTTCATTCTTTTTTAGCTATTGCTTTAAGGTTTTGACACATGAATTAAAGAATAAATTTAATGTCTTCGTTTACGTAAAATTATTATATGATTTCCTGTTCTACTTTTTTTTATCTTTTTTGGTAATTAAGTAATCTTTTTATTCTAAGTTAAAAAATATAATTGATATAAAATCATTGTCTTAACTTTTAAAGGTGATAGATTAAGAATTAAAATTTCTTAAAACTGTGACAGATAAAAATAACAGAAATAGTAAGATTTTAAGAGCATGATGTTGTTCCTTTTTGTTATTACTTTTATTACTCATATATTGGTAAGATACAATGTTGTAGTTCTATTTCATTAACTTCTACTTTACTCTGTTTAATCCCTTCTATTTGTGAGTTTCTCCTTCATATCAATGATTAATACACTTCGATCAACTTCACTAATTTCGCTAAAAATGCAGGTGGAGTAACATCTATGGTGCCATTCTTGGAGAAGTTTTTCCCAGATGTATACACCAAGATGAAACAAGATACCAAGATTAGCAATTACTGCAAGTTTGATAGCCAGCTCCTAACAACATTCACTTCATCACTTTATATAGCAGGCCTTATATCATCCTTCTTTGCCTCATCAGTCACAAGAGCCTTTGGACGCAAACCATCAATCCTTGTAGGTGGTGCTGCATTCCTCATTGGAGCAGCTCTTGGTGGTGCAGCTCTCAATATATACATGCTTATACTAGGTCGAGTTATGCTTGGAGTTGGTATTGGCTTTGCTAATCAGGTAGCTTTATCCTTAAATATTTATTTCATAGGTCCTGCTAAGGACCAAGGAATGTGTCAAGATACTGATTAAGGACTATTTAATTAATATCTGATAATATACTTCTAATTATTTCAAATATGATTATATATTTTTTATATTATGAATATAATAATTACTTAATTTTTCATTAAATAGTTTTAGCTTAATCAATGATGTCAAGCTTGAGTACAATTGCGTATTTATATTAAAATTCAACAAGAAAAGTAATGTGGGTCACAGTGGTCCTGAGTAGAATAGTTACACCCATGTTTCCAAGTCTAAAAATACTCCTTAGTGATTGCCTTGTTTGATTATTAAGTGGATATAGTTAACATAATAACAATGACATAGTACTTATAAGGAAGCAAAATTTCATTGTTTTGCAGTCAGTGCCATTATATCTGTCTGAAATGGCACCTCCAAGATACAGAGGAGCACTCAACATTGGCTTTCAGCTCTGTGTTGGCATTGGTGTTCTATCAGCTAATCTGATCAACTTTGGCACAGAAAAGCTCAAAAGTGGTTGGGGATGGCGTATTTCATTAGCCATGGCAGCAGTTCCAGCCTCAATGCTCACTTTGGGATCACTGTTCCTCCCAGAAACACCCAACAGCATAATCCAACATAGCAAAGATCATCACAAGGCTAAGCTAATGCTGCAACGAATCCGAGGCACCAATGATGTCCAACCAGAACTTGAAGACCTTATTGAAGCAAGTCACATATCAAATTCCATCAAACACCCTTTTAAGAATATCTTACAGAGAAAATATAGGCCTCAACTTGTTATGGCAATAGCTATACCCTTCTTCCAACAATTCACTGGAATCAATGTCATTTCCTTCTATGCTCCAATCCTCTTCCTAACCATTGGATTAGGCGAAAGCGCTTCGCTTTTGTCAGCAGTTGTGACTGGTGTTGTAGGCACTACTTCAACATTCATATCAATGCTCATAGTTGATAAAGTAGGCAGAAGAGTTTTGTTCATATCTGGGGGCATTCAGATGCTTGTCTCACAAGTTATCATAGGAAGCATTATGGCAGTTCAACTTGGTGACCATGGTGATATAAGCAAGAAATATGCATATTTGATTCTGATTTTGATATGCATATATGTTGCTGGATTTGCCTGGTCATGGGGGCCACTAGGATGGTTGGTTCCTAGTGAGATTTTCCCACTGGAGATTAGATCAGCAGCACAAAGTATCACTGTTGCTGTCAACTTTCTCTTTACCTTCATTGTGGCACAAACTTTTCTTAGCATGCTTTGCCATTTCAAGTCTGGCACTTTCTTCTTTTTTGGGGGATGGGTGGTGATGATGACAGTGTTTGTGTACTTGCTGTTACCAGAGACCAAGAATTTGCCAATTGAGCAAATGGATAGGGTGTGGAAAGAGCATTTCTTTTGGAAAAAAATTGTAGGAGACAAGAGTTAAGGCACAAAGATAGTGGTGCCTTGATATATATATATATAACCCACAAGTTACAATTACCCATACTTTGAAGTTTAATGTGACTAAATGCATGATTGGCTTAACTTATGTTGAAGAAATAATCACTTATTTTTTTGTAGTTTTTGAGACAGTTTTTAAAAATAAGTGATTATTCAAGTTTTTCCAAACATGTACTAACTACTATAATTTTCTTACCAACTTGCCTTATTCAAATTTGGAAGGATGGGAGAAGAACAAAGAAAATAAAGAACTGTTTTCTGCATAATTACACACGTATAAATTCACCTGTATTATTTGGACCTTTTAATAAAGTGGACACCCACTTTAGAGAAGAAAACATGGAATTAAAATTGTGGATTAAAAGAATTAAACAAATAAATTATAATAATTTTATAATTTGTGAGACAACCATATTTTGTAATCAATGATTATAATTTCATATTTTTTTTGTTCAGAGCATATTGTTATTGAAACCAAGCCGAACTACTTGAACTGATACTATAACAGGTACAGGAAAAGTCATAATTAAAGCATGGTTTGCCAAAAAAAAAATGAAAAAAATTTAATAAACTTTCTGCCAAAAATAAATATCTCAGAAAAAAGAAAAAAAAGCTAAAAAAGTATACTGATAAATTGAAAAGGGTGTGCAGATGCTGTCATCCATCTATATTATACAGAATGAATATATGGAAATGACAAATCTAGAGGAATCCAGTTGAAGGACGTGTTCTTGATCCTGGCGGCTGAGAAAAATATTCTTTTGGGGCATAATTACATCTCTATATAGTAGAATAGTTCTACTATAACATATTTAACATTGTTTACAACTATTTTAATCATCTTTAAACGTACATATCTCAAAACTATATTTAAAATATAAAGAAAAAAATTAAAACACTTTTAAAATTATTCAAAGAAAATAATATTATTAAAGCAGTGTAAAATAAAACTAGAAAATAAGTATAAAGAAGTCAATGATGTTATATTTTCTATATATAAAAAAGTTTAATTATATTTTTATCCTCTTAAAAAAAGTTAACTCAACTTGTCATATCATTTAATTTTTATTTTTTATTATTTAAAATTAATATTTATAAATAAATTTCTCAACATATTTTACATAATTGCAAATAAGTTGTTTTTCTTTTTTTTTCCCTTTCCCTTTTGCCATCTTCTCTTCTTCCGTGTTACTCACTTCTAACTCCAATTCCCACACCCCTCCCCACTACACACTCCACTCTATCCCTTTCTCGACCCCAACTCTAACCCCCACCCTCACATCCTTTTATACCACTTAGTCTAACTCTCACATCCCTCTCTTCTCTCTCTCCATTATCCACTTTATCCTTTCCTTAATCCTAACTCCAATTTCACATCCTTTCTCTCTCTCTCTCCCGCTATTCATTGCACTACTTTTTCAACTGGATCTACCTGCATCTCATCCTATTACTCAAGTGGTGAAGAAGGAGATTTATTTACATAAAATAGTTTAGAAACTTGTTTGTAAATATTAATTTTAAAAATTAAAAGATTACATTCCATGTCATATCATGTAAAAGTGTTGAGTTAATTCTTTATCAGTCAATTCAGTACCTGACATATAAGAGTTGACACAGAAATTAAATCTTAACTTTTTAAGAATTAAATCCTAACAAAATTATTTTATAAAGACTTATCACAAAATGCTCAATATTTATAGAGACTAAAATATAATTAAGCATATAAAAAATATTAAGACTATATTTAGTAAAGATATAATTTACTTAAAAATTTGTAACTTATTAATTTGTAGAGCATTTTAGTAAAAAAAAAAAATTGTATTTTAAACTTTATTTTTAAAAAAACTATTTAAAGAAATGTTAAACTTTTAAAAGTTATCTACTAATATTTTTATTATATTTTTATTTTCTTTTGAAGACAACTTACTCATCACATAATTAAAACTATGTACATAAACTAATCTCATCATTTGTTATATTTTATGTTTAAATATATATAGATGAAGATACATTTTATTTTTATATAATTATTTAATTAATTAATAATAAATAAATAAAATAAGTAATATCTAATTTTAATATTATATTAATAAAATATTATATATCTTTTCAAATCAGTTAGTTGTTTTGGGTTTTTTAACCCTTCTTATAGCAAAAAAAAAAATAAAAAATATATCAGTTAGTTACCTGATTAATTTGTCAAACAATTTTAAATTTATAAACTACTTATAAATTTTTGACTTTTTTAAGTTAACTTTATAACTAGAAGTTATAAACTCGTAACTTTTAAATCATTTTACTAAACAAACTTTAAAAAAATATACATTTTAAAAATTTAATTTAAATGCTTTGATTGTATAAAACAATTGTATTGTAATTTAATTTTAAATTAATATATAAAAATATATCTATGATGTATTTTAGTTAATTGACAATATAAAAGGTTTTATATTAAAAATATATTAACATTAAAATTATTTTTTTTATTAGATGATAGGTATGTTGAGTAGGATTAATGTGAGTTGTAAAACTCTTATTATAAATATTTATTTAACACAATTTCTTTAACATAACTTAAACCCTAAACCTATAACAAACAAGATATATTTATTAATATAAAATGGATAGGGATCAACTTTCATTAATTTATTAATTTTTAAATAATTTTATCTTAGATTAAAAGTTTTTATAAGATAAATTATAGTTATAAATTTTAGATTAATTTAAATTATTTTATACCTTATTTATATACATTAAAATTAATGTAAAATATAATTTTAAATATATATATATATACCAATATAAATTATTTAATTATATTTTATAATTATTTAATTTTAATAAAATTTGACTTATATAATTAAAATAATATAAATTATAATTCAACTATTGAACTAATAAAAATTAATATTTTATATAAAATTATCGATGAAGTAAGAGTTAATATAACTTAAGGAGAATTGATCCAATACACAGTTTACATCTTCAAGTCCATAAAGAGGTGAAGGCAGATTTATTTGAATCAATATTATTGGTGAGATTTTGAGTTGAAGATTCAACCCTTCCTTTACACTCTTGTCTTGTTCACTAGAAAATCAACTACACGTGCATTGCTCCTGAGCATAAATGAAGCAGCATCTGCATATGTTAACATGTACAATTGGTCCACACACTCCCAAGCCTCTCGCTTGCACACTTGCACTATAGTTACGTCCAATTACTGTAATATTATTTTACTGAAATAAACCACCAATTAAGCTGTCCATCTTATCCATTTTGTCCTTAAGCATATGGTTAGAGGCACATCTCTGTCACAGTGCATACAAAATGATTCTTCTCCAATTATAGAGGCATTGCAGTGATGCAACTTTGACTTTTCTAAGTAGAAAATTGTCTAAATTTGATTTAAAAGAAACACATCTCAACGCTCAAGTAAGAAAGTCTTTTACGCCATTACATCAAAGGTGACCAAATTTCACTAGTGCCACTCTATCATGTTGAAAATTCAAACTAACATACTATTCTGAAGTTTACTCTACTCCATTTGCACTTCATGTTTAGTGCTGCCACTTGACCACCTAAAACACTCTTTTCAAGCATAAAGAAAAAGCTAAGCTAATGGCAGTTGGGTTGGCTATACAAAGTGAAGGTGGTCAAAACAATGGCAAGATAACATTGTATGTAGTCCTATCTTGTATGATGGCTGCTATGGGGGGTGTCATCTTTGGTTATGACATTGGAATATCAGGTGGGGTGACCTCAATGGAACCATTTTTGAAGAAGTTTTTCCACAAAGTGTACCTTAAGATGAAAGCAGATGTCAAAGTTAGCAACTATTGTGTATTTGACAGCCAACTATTGACCTCCTTTACATCATCCCTTTATGTTGCTGGTCTTGTTACTTCCTTCTTTGCTTCTTATATCACCAAAGCCTTTGGACGAAAGCCGTCCATCGTTGCCGGAGGCGCTGCATTCCTTGCTGGTACAGCATTTGGAGGTGCAGCCTTTAATGTGTACATGCTCATAGTTGGTAGACTTTTGCTTGGAGTTGGTGTTGGTTTTGCAAACCAGGTTCATTCCTTTCACTTCATGTTTTTGTAGCATAACAAGCATTTGGCGTATTCTATAGAGCTTAAGATTCAATCTGAAACTAGAAAATGCATGTCTTGCCAGCTAAAATGAGAAGAATTTGACTTTTAGAATATAGATTCTTTCTTGCAAAGTGCATTAATACAGTTGAAGCCAAAAAGTAAAACAGAGTAGCCATTGATTATTATTTTTCGTTAACCTATTCTCATGTTGGTATAGCTTGTAGGATCATTGCATGTTCTAAAGCTAGACTTGCCTATGTCTACCAAACCATCTCACGAATATATGTAACTTCATGACAAATATTAACCAGCACCTAATAGCATTAGTTAAGAAAACAAACGTACTAAGTGTTTATTTAATGTAAAACACAACTATTACATTGAATACACAAAAAACACTTGTTGCTTACTTTTTGAGTTATTAGATGCATTTATTGTTGCAGATTTTAACTCTTAAAAAAATTTTCAATGTGTACACTATCATTGTGTACCTGTCGAAGGATAATAAAAAAGAGTATTTAAAACTATTTCAATATCTTCTTCTCTCGTATATTGTATTACAAGCACTTATTATTATTATTTCTTAAAAGTTAGAATAAATTCAAAAGTTAAGAATATTTGAATTAAAAATAATCAAAATAAATTAAAAAAATAAATGCAAGAAAATTGAAAAGTTAATTTGATACGAATAAAAATATACAATTTTAATTTCTTCTTATAATTACATGTATATTTCTTAATTTAATTATATTTAATTTTTTTTATGCATATGCTATCTAATGATCATAGAAAACAATAAGATAAATAAGAGAATTAAAAAATATTATATTTGTTAAAATTAATTAACTAATTACAAGTTTACAGGTTAAATTGATCATTTTAACTTAAACTTGAATTATCTTTTAATTTCCATTAATCTATTAATGATGCGATTGTCTATCAATTAGTTAACTAGGATGAGTACTTGAGTGATCAATTCAATAATATAAATAACAATAAAGAGACAATTTTTTAATTAACAATTAGCAATAGTTGTATAAGATCAAATTGAGGTTTGAAAGAATTACATAATGAGAATTTATCTCATCCTCACAGCAAAAGGTATTTAATTACGTATAATCATAAAGATGAAAGGAAAATAATTAAATATGAAACAACTGTAATAATAAATAATAAGAGAAGAGAAAATCTTTGTGGTTAGTATGCTTAAATATAAAACATTGATAATAACAAATAATAAAAGAATATAAAACTTTTGTGATTTGTCTGCTTTAACGTAGAAGCACAACTCTACAATGAAAAAGATATTGAAAGAAGAATTTAGTATGAAAGATTTAGGATTTTAGTGTGTAAAGAGAGGAATAGGTTAAATAATGTTTCTCATAAATTCCACCTATTATTTTGCTCTTTTCAACAAATTTTTGTCATGTTTTCACTATCATCCCTCTATACCGTAAAACCAAGAGAAACTTACGTAGATCAAAGGGTAAAAAACCAATCCTAATTATAAAATTAAGCTAAATTTCATAGTAAAAGTGGCAAAATTACAATTTATTATTTACCAAAGTGTATATAATGCTTCTTAACCAATTCTCTTTCGGCCCTCATTAGCAAGAGCCTAATTTCTTTCAAACTGTTTCATTGTTTTGTAGGCAGTTCCTTTATATCTCTCTGAAATGGCACTACCACGACTTAGAGGAGCAATTAACAATGGCTTCCAATTAAGCATTGGCATTGGTGCTTTGTCTGCTAATCTAATAAACTATGGAACAGAGAAGATTGGAGGTGGTTGGGGTTGGCGCATGTCCCTAGCCATGGCAGCAGTTCCAGCCTCAGTCCTAACACTAGGTGCACTTTTTCTGCCAGAAACTCCCAACAGCTTAATCCAACGAAGCCATGATCATCAAAAGGCTAAGCTTATGCTTCAACGTATTCGAGGCACAGAAGATGTGCAAGCAGAACTTGATGACCTTGTCAAAGCAAGTTCTCCTTCAAAAACCAACAAACAACCATTTAAGATCATTTTGAAAGCAAGATATAGGCCTCAGCTTGTGATGGCAATAGCAATACCATTTTTCCAACAAGTGACAGGGATCAATGTGATTGCTTTCTATGCCCCTTTACTTTTTAGAACAATTGGGTTAGGAGAAAGTGCATCATTGTTGTCAGCTGTGATGACAGGTGTTGTAGGTACTGGTTCAACCTTCATATCAATGCTCATAGTGGATAAGCTTGGAAGGAGAACCTTGTTTATGATTGGGGGCATTCAAATGTTTGCATCACAGTGTATAGTAGGAGGCGTAATGGCAGCCCATCTAGGAGATCATGGTGGATTAAGCAAAGGGTATGCTTATATGGTTTTGGTGCTAATATGCATATATGTTGCTGGGTTTGGATGGTCATGGGGGCCTCTAGGTTGGTTAGTACCAAGTGAGATTTTTCCCTTAGAAATTAGATCAGCAGGGCAGAGCATCACAGTAGCAGTGAGCTTTATCTTCACTTTCATTATTGCTCAGACTTTTCTATCCATGCTTTGCCACTTCAAGTCTGGGATTTTCTTCTTCTTTGGAGGATGGGTGGTGGTGATGACTATGTTCGTGTTCTACTTTCTGCCAGAGACTAAAAACGTGCCACTTGAACAGATGGAGAAAGTGTGGCAAGAACATTGGTTTTGGAAGAGAATAGTGGGTGAAATGAGTGATAGACATCATAAAGGTCAAGCATGATACTTCATGGCGAATATAAATCAAATGTTCTACTGATGTTAGCACAAACGTTTGTCTATATATCAGTTATCTTGAGCATAAAGGCAATGAAGTTGTTTTCTATTTGAAACACTAGGTTTTAAATATATAAACTGATAAACAGTGTTTGGGGAGAGAGAGAGAAACTTGACCCTTGGAAAATTAGGGTTGATGCACAAGCTGCCCGATTATTGATTATTCTAGAACTCGGATGCATCTTGACTTAAAGGCAAAATATGCAAGATAACAACATAGCCATATCCACCTACCTAACTATTTATCTACTAAATTTAGTCATTTTACTTGAGTTGATTAATTTCTTTTTTTTACTTTTTTTTAATTCCCTGGGTGAAAAATTCAAGTAAAATAAAAAAGAAAAATATGGCATAGAGACATGGTCAAAATGGTGAATGTAGTTAGCAATTCCAGATAAAAGTACATTGCTCTTATGGGTTGTTTTCAAGTATATATGAAGTTGATGTTAAAATTTTCTTGGTCCCCCAGATCTAGCTGGTTTTCTTTCTATTTCATGAAAACCAAACAAAAATGCTCAACTATCTTGAACCGATATTTGCCACAGATAAGGTGGCAGACACAATTCAACTCCTTAACCGTTTTCTCCTCCACTCTCTCTCTTCTAGAGAGAAGGGGTGTTGGCAACTGACATGAAATCGTCGTGGGTTGATAGTGTATTGCTGGGTTACCAAATACGGTGAATGATAAATCACTCATGATTTTGTTTTTCCTTGGATTAGTTTATGGCCATAAATAGTGATATTGGCTAAAATAAGATATTTATTCTGCTAGTATTTGCTGTGATCCACCTCAATTAGCATGTTTCTGCGTCAAACAAGCTTTAGCTTTATATATAGCCATACAATCTCACGAGAGAAAAGATGGTGAAAAACTAGCAATAAATTCTGATGTGATAAGAGACATGTCGATCCACGTTCAAGTCAAGCACTCTGTTTATCCTTTATGCACTATCACAATCACAACAATAACACTAACTTCGTGTAAGACACTAAATAAAAGGCAGACATCATTGAAATCCTGTTGTCTGAAATATTCATGCAATCATCAATCTTGCACAATCAATGTTAATAGCGCAGTTGATATAAGAAACAAGGATAATATCACAATATAAGCAAACTTTTGTGCCATCAGTTTTCCTCCACCAACAAAATTAGCATGGAAGAAATTCATTTTTTTTAACAGTATTTCTTTTAGGGTAGCACAGTAAAAACTTTCACATCTTTCATGGCAGGACTCCTAACTGAGTATTTAAATGTCCAACCATGGCAGGCACCAGCATGTTCCCCCTTTTTATTAAGGGCAACAACAGCTCCCACAAAATCTGGAAATTTTGTTGCTATTCGTGCTATTGCATCCCTAGCAGCAAGTTTGGGTTCCATTCCCAACCTCATACTTTCCACAACTTGATAACTGAAATTGAATAGAAAAGTGTTAATTCTGATATTCGTAAGAGAAAACACATGAGAAGTAATTTAAACTGAAACTACCAACAGGGTAAAGAATGCATTTTTTCAGGTCAATGCTGATAAGAAAAAAAAAAAACAAGTTTCAATACCCTCTGGTTACAAAAGGATTACCATTTAGCTATAACCAAGCAAACATTACATGATGGATCAGCTATGCTCACCCCAAACAGTAAGTCTCTCCTCAAGATTAATAAGCTTTAGTGAGCATCAGATACTGTCATACCAGTAATGAAAGATCAGACATTTAAATTTTAATACAAAAATTTATATGCCATTATGCATCATAACTTCCTTCTTTTTCTTGTCCTTTCATGTCATTTTGGACACCGAAGACTGACTTCGTAATTTTATTTTTCATTATACAGTTTTTATGCTTCTGCTGGGGTTAAAATTTTAAGATCAGGTAAAACAACTCCAGAGCAGAGTCCAGGCTTCATAAAATTACATCTACCCTAAATTCTGTGTTCTTTTTTTCTTTTCTCTCTTTAATTTAGTATAACAAGCAAGACTTATTTGAATCACAAGGTTGGTGCAAATGTCATTAACTTGTAGCAGCATTTGGAATCAAGCCAATTTTTAAACATCAAAACATTAGCTCCTTGGTGAATATTGATGTATCCTCTGATACTCCTCCCATATTTAAATTGAAAAAGATTAGATGTTACTTGCTTTGGTAGTTGGTGACCTTTCTGTTTGGACTAATACCGCTAAACAATTTTGATGCTAAAAAGTAAAAGATCAAGACATGCAAACCTAAAGCTACTCAGAATCTAAACTAGAGAAACTAGAGTTTCCATGCTACCATGGAAGGAAGCGCATCATGATGTCACCATCACCAGTTGCACAACATGCACCAACTTCATCAACACCATACGCTGAGGATCCAGCTATGGGACCATCACCTACCCTGTAATCAGAGGAAAAAATTTAAAGAAAACTTACTTACAAAAAGCATCTAGAGAACAGATTAAAGATGATTGATATCTGCTGCATTAACAGTGTATGTAGTACATATCTATGATGTGTATTTGGGAATTGACAAAAGCAAATAGCAATGGCCCAAATGGAACCACTCCCCACACCGAGTTATAAAAGACAGGACACTAATTGCTAAAGCCTTCCCATCTCAAGCTAAGCACAGCAGACATGAGAGTTAATATGTATGTCACAACAGAAAATATAGATAAAATATAGCTTGGAAGAAAAGAAAATTTTGGTCATTCAAGAAATGAGAAGATCTATCCACTACTAATACTGGCACTCACAATATTACCTTCCAGGAATCTTGAATGTTGCCCCATTAGTTGATGTACCAACGGCAATGTGTCCCATCTATGCCAAATAAGAAGTGTCATTTGCGTTGATAATATGATATATACAAATTACAAATCAATTTATGGTAAATCTTACTCTATCAATAACAGCCATTGATATAGTATCATGGCTATGAAGACCAACACGAAGTAATCTGCAATTACTAGTAAGCATCTGACCAGTATTGGAGCATGTTTCAAATGGATGCTCCAGATAATTTGTTGGACAATAAGGACCACAACTATTTGCAGGTACTACATTTTTTCTGAAATTTGGTTGGCAGCGACTATCTTTCCATTTGGTCCACTTCTCCACAGATTCTGGTGAACTCAAGTTTGTTGGTCCCGGAAGACCCATTGAAATAGCGAATTCAGATGCTTTCTCTCCTACCAGCAAAGTATGTTCAGTATGTTGCATCACTAACCTGGCAGCCTTGATTCCATCCTTTACATATCTCATGGCTGCGACAGCTCCTACTTCCATAGTCACCTATGTATCCCCTTACCAGAATATAGGACCAAAAATCATGCCAATGAATGAAGAAGTGTAATGCAAGACGCAAAATAATTAGCAGCTACAGAACATGCCAATTGGTAGTTACCCCATCCATGACAAGGGCATCAATTGTAGTTTCTCCATTCTCATCAGGACTTCCTCCCGGACCAACTGTTTAGAATAGGATAGTCAGAAGGCATGCCAAAGTATACTAACCATTAACATACAACACCAAAAGTACCAATTCTCAAGATAGTTACACGCTATATAGAGAGAATAAAAATAGCATCCAAATTCTGTCTAAACCATTCTTATAGGGGTAAAATAAAGAGAAATTTTCACAACTCTCCTTTTCCTACAACCAAGCAAACTTTATTACAATATTCCGAGTTATGTTCATAAACCACAACATAACAGGTCAAACTTGAACAGAAATTTCACTGAGTTGGAAAGTATGCATAAATTTCCTGTATTAATAAAGCATACCAATAACATAACAAGACCCCGGCTATAAAGTCAAGCATATATCATTTTGTGAACCCAGAGTTGGTATCATTCCGATAAGCACTTAACAAGAATGGAAGAAGAAGCTGCTAGACAAAATCAATTATCAAATACTTCAGAACCACAAAATGGAGAGATAAGTTCACAATTGTTTCCAACACTCCCATACATTCAACAACTTAGAACTAGCATTATTCCAATCAAGCACTCAAAAAATAAAAAGTTTCCATTCAATAAAGAAAACAATAATAGATTAATTCCACTTGATGAAGTAGGTTACATGGATCACATGACACCACTGGATTCGGTTAAAACCTAAATTCTCAGAAATATTATTCATTGTGAAATTCCTATAATAAGTAATGTCCTCAAAAATCCTTCTTAGCCACATTCTACCATTTTTCACACTAAAAACCATGCAATCTACTCTCCGCATAACGCTAAAATGTTCCATTCAATAGAAGACAAAATAAGTGTCAAAATTCATATTGAAAAATCAACGTTATCTTCTTCCAAACATTCAGTGAAGTTCCAACCTGTTCCATCACACCTGAGTTCCTCACAAGCAGAGCAACCTTCAACCACAGAATCCACAGCTGAAGAGCCACCATCAACAGCCCTCCATGCAGCTATCACAGCCTCAACAAACGGCCAAGTGCTCACAACCAATGGATACTGTTCCAATTCCATAGTTTCATGTCCCAAAACCTGATCATAATCACAAACAACACCCATCACATCAAAATTTACCTAAAGTGGAAAAAGATTAAGACTTTGGCCAAGATTGCTTATTTTGAATGTTGGGAAGTGTTATGACAGAAACGAAAAAGAGTAAAGAGAGAGGAGCGTGTTATGGTGTGTTCGATACCAGAGAGAGTAAAGGGAAGAGAAAGATGAAGTTCAAGAGTGGGGTGCTGTTGCCATGCTTTGACGGCGGAATGAAGGATGATTTTCCAGCCATGGAGATGATGATTGAGCTTCTATCAATGGTAAGATGAATTGAATGGAACAAAATAAATTTACTTTCTTAAAAATATACTCTTGAACTAGTCCTTATAAACTTTTTTTTTTTGGTTGAATTTAATTTTGTAATTATTTTTTAAAATAGTCCTTGTAATTAAATAATAATAGTTAATTGTGTTGAATTATTTTAATAATATATATAGTAGCATGTATAACTTGCAGAATTATTCTAATTAAAAATTTAATGTTATGATTGTTAAATATTAATATAAAACTATTAAGGATATAATTATAAAAATATTTATTTATTAAAAAAAAATAAGAGAGTCATTATTAAAATAAGGTTATGGTTATTCTCTCTTTTTCATGATTTTACATTAGTTAAGAGTATTTTCTTTCAATCATTAAAAAGTTAAAGGAGAAAAGAAGAGTTGAAAACAATATTATTATCTTAAAAAACATCAAAAGAGAGATCACATTAAAATATAGTAAGTTTAGATTAGTGCTCTCTAAACTTTTAATTATAAGAAAACTTATATATTATATAAGAATCATGAAATTCAAGATCAATAAAAAAACTAATTTTATAATAGTAAAATTAAAGATAAAAATTACGTAATGAATCCTAAGAAAGGAATATGTATTAAATAATTATGAACCCTAAGGCTTAAGATTCTCATATAATTACTATCATCAAATTCAAGGTTCATACAACTATTAAGCGTGTATTAAATATTGCAATCTTTATGAATGTGTGTGGCATGGTCGATGGCACAATCAAGTTCAATGGACTGAACTATGATGATTGGGTCGAGCAAGTTCAATTCTAGCTAGGTGTTAAGGATTTGGACCTAGCAATCATAGTGAAAGAAAAACCTATAAATATTACAGAAATCAGTACAAAAGACGAAAAGACTCTTTATGAGACTTGGAAAAGGTCTAATAGGTTGAGCTTGAGCTTAGTAAAAATGACTACGGTTGAAAATGTGAAATCATTAATGCAAAAAACTAAGAATGCTAGGAAATTTATGGCAAAGGTAAAAGAGCATGCATAGTCGAACATTACTAATAAGTTCATCTCAAGTACCTTATTGACTGAGTTAACTACTTAGAAGTTTAATTGGTCACAACATATTCATGATCATGTGACTGATATGATCAATCAAGCAGCAAAGCTAAAATTAATGGGCATGAAAGTTAAAGAAGTTTTTCTAGTACAATTCATTTTGAATTCACTCTCTCCTAAATTTGACCAATTCTAGTTGAATTATAACATAATTAAGGATAAGTGGAACATACAGGAAATTAAGGTCATTTTGGTTCAAGAGGAAGGGAGGCTAAAAAATGTGAAAGATCACTTTGTCCATCTCACATTTCATGAAAGAGATAGTAGCAGCAAGGCTAAGCCAAGTAGGAAGAACAAGAAGGATAAAGTCTTATTAAAGGTTCGTGAAGGTCAAATCCAGAAGGGTCAAAGATGTTTCTTCTGCAAGAAGATTGACCACTTCAAGAAAGATTGTCCAAATAGAAAGGTTTGGTTCAAAAAGAAAGGTATATACTATGTTGCAATATATTTTGAATCAAATCTTATTGAGGTACCAAATAATACTTGGTGGTTAGATTTTGGTGTAACTACTCATGTGTCACATGTAATGCAAGGATTTCTTTCAATCCAACCCATAAGCGGAATTGAAAAGTTTTTGTACATGAAGAACATAATGAAGGCATGGATAGCAAGAATAAGGACTTATAAATTGATCTTGCATATTGGTTGTTGTATAGATCTAGAAAAGTATTTTTAATGTTCCTAAATTTGCTAGGAATTTAGTTTTTATTGCAAAGTTAGACAAATTTGGTTTTAATTTTAAGATTAGAAACTGTGCATTTTCTTTAGATAAACACTTATTTTGGTTCTACTACATTAATAGATGGCTTATATCATTTCAATTTTAATGTTAAATTTGTTAAATCTTTGTTTCATGTTGAGAACAGTGTTAGTAGTAATTTGAATGTGTGTAATAAATATTTTGCTCTCTTGTGGTATCAAAGCTTAGGATGTTAATATTAATGAAAAGTAAAATTTTATCTCAATTAGATTTTGCTGAATGGGATGTATGTGTGAATTGTATTAAAGAAAAATAATACCAAACACGTATCAAAGAATCCAGTTACAAGAAGTAATCAACTCCTAGAGTTGATACACATTGATATTTATGATCAATTTGACATCCAGTCTTAGAGTGGTAAAAAATACTTTATTACCTTTATTAATGACAATTAACAGTATTTTGATATGTACATATTGCAGAAAAGTCTCAATCACTGGATGTCTTACAAGTGTTCATTGATAAGGTGGAAAAATAATTAAATAGAAAGGCAAAGTTTGTGAGGTTAGATAGGTGGTAAATATTATGAAAAATCTTATGAAAACGGACAACGTCCAGATTTGTTTACAAAACTTCTAGAGAGTTAAGGTATATGTGCACAATACACTATGACTGACACACTACAACAAAATGGTGTGTGACTAAAAGGCATAATTGTACTCTTATGAAAATAGTTAAGAGAATGTTGAGTTACAATTATGTAAATATGTCTTTATAGATGTAGCATTAAAGAGTGCATATATGCTTAATAAAGTTCCTACTAAGGCAGTTCCAATTTAAGACATTTTCATGTTTGGAATTATCTAGCAGAAGTAAAGGTGTATAATCAACATGAAAAAAAGCTTTATCCTAGAACCATTAGTGATTATTTCATTAGCTATCCCGAGAAACCAAAGGCGTACATATTCTACTGTTCTAACCATAGTTTGAGAAAACTTGAGTCTGGAAATGCAAGGTTCATTGAGAACGGTAAACTTAGTAGAAGTAATGAAATATGAAAGGTGGAAATTAAAGAGATACATAAGAAAACTCCTACAGTTGGTATTGCTTCTTAAGTTATTGTCCCTCTTGTTGCGTCACAATTATACAACATATCGAAACAACAAATTAATATTCCAAACCTACAAGAGCAAGGTATAGAAAATGAACTAGCTAACAATTCACAATTCACAATCGAGCAAATAGAAGATAAACCACAAAAGATAGCATTAAGGAGGTTTACAAGGCAAAAGATACTTGCTATTTCAAGTAATTATGTGGTTTACTCACTTGAGCATGTATGTGACTTGAGTATTGATAAAGATTCAATCTCATTTAAGCAAGCTATGGAATGTAACAATTCTAAAAAGTGGTTAAATGTCATGAAATAAGAATTAAAATCAATGAATGTTAACAAGGTATGAGAATTAGTCAAGTTGCATGAAGGTTTAAAATGAATCAGTTGCAAGTGAGTCTTTAAGACCAAATAAGACTCAAAAGATAATGTTGAGAGACATAAGGTTAGACTTGTTGTTAGAGGGTATACTCAAAAGGATGACATAAACTATAAATAGACTTTCTCTCTATTTCTAAGGACTCTTTAAGAATTGTTATGACTTTGGTGGCTCATTATGACTTCAAGCTTCACCAAATAGATGTAAAGATCGTCTTTCTGAATGCTGACTTGGAAAAAGGAGTTTACATGGATTAGTGTAACATCCTCTTTTCATTTTTTGGTAAATTATGTTTTGTTTAATATTAGGTAATATTAGAATGCATTGAGAAGAGTGTATAGAAGACTTTTGGAAGAGTTTTAGTACAGGAGATCTCGCTCAGGCGAGGTAAATCTCACCTAGGTAAGATATAGCATGCAAAAATGCAATATTGAAAGGCTATCTTGCTTAAGCGAGATGTTTCTTGCTCAAACGAAATAGGATAAATGTAGCCCAATTGTCACCTCGCCCAGACGAGGGTGATCTCGCTCAGGCGAGCTGAGATCCCGCCCAGGCAAGATGGGTCGCTCAAATGAGAACCCACAGAAGAAATATCATGTTCTCTAGATGCCATCTTGCTCAGGCAAGATAGAGCTCACTCAAGCGAGCATATCAAAAAATAATGGGGAGACCACTGTCTACATATCTCGCTCAGGCGAGATGTTCGTCGCCCAAGTGAGGTATCGTCGCTTAAGCGAAAGTGTCCTCGCTCAAGTAAGAATAGCAGAGAAATAAGTAATTTGACTGTCTGCTTGTCTCGCTCAGGCGAGTAAGGCTCACCCAGGCGAGTGTAGATCTCACTCAAGCGAGAATTTGGTCCCTCAAGCAAGATCACGTGAATTTAGAAGGTTATTTATAAAACTCCAGTCCTGAAAAACATTCATTTCTCACTAGACAACCTTCTCTCCTCAATTTCTCTGTTCTCTTTCCTTCCTCTCTCAAGGGAGAACTCTTTCAAACTTCAAATCCCTTTTAGATCTGAGCTCAAACGTCTATTACATTTAGAACAAGGTAAGTTTCTTAGAGCTCAGACCTCTAGTTTTATTTCTTTTCTTTAGTTTTCTTCTCCTCAATCAGTGTTCATCGTGCAATATTTAGGAATATCTCTACATTTTGAATAAAACTTTCTATTTTGGACGTGTTGTACCTTCCCTCTTGACCTCTAAAAGGATTTGATAGTAGAGACTCATTTCCAGGTAAGGGGAGTAGATCCCAAACTCTAACTCTTATTTTATGCCATGACTTAGAAACTTTAGTACTTTTGAGCTAAATAGTAAAGTTTTCATTAACTGGGATCTTTGGAAAGTAAAAGCATGATGATTTATTTTTGAACATACCTGGCTAGGATTTTCTAACAGAAATTAGAAGTAAAACAAATTTTTAAGAAAGTTTGTGACTTTAATGTTAATATGTACATATAATTATTGTTAGACTATGATTTTGAATAATAAAGGATGAAAAATGATCAAACCTCAGGATAGATGATTTTATAAAAAGACTGGGAGAGCATAACTTCTGGCAATTTTTCTTGTGATTTAGCTTAATGAGTGTCAACATGCGTAACTGGTCTGAATCCGAGAATGACTGACCTTCGGCACACTTCATTGATGTGAAATAGATTGATGAATAGTTAATATTAAAATTTTGTAGTGTGATAAATATGAGTTTGTGTTTAATGA